GCACAGAAAGGGTGAAAGAAGACAAAAGGAAGCGGAGAAAAAGCGAGTGAAAGAAAGAAGAAAAGCAAAAACATTACAAGAAATGCCATTAACTTGTAATAACTAACTATATGAAACCTGAATATTATACCTACGCTATGTGTTATTATTATAGCTGTTTAGTTATGGATTATAAAATTTACAAAACATAAGTCTCATGTTCTTACCTTTCGGATGCACATGAAAGAAATGTCTAGAGCCAATCGATTCAATGCTATCAATCCGAAACATGAAACCAAATCGTCATCATACACAAACAACAAGTATAACATTCGAAAACTATTTATAAGTTGTCATTCCCACATAGTCGTAACATTCCTCTCAGTCTATCGAATGTATCTATCTATTCGATAATAACGATAACGAATGTACCTATTACATTCGTTATCGTTATTAATTGTCTTTTATATTACACTGCGTAGAAATGGAGGTGCGTCATTCTGAAAGGGGACGCTTTCTTGTGAAAAAAAGAGAAGATAGTCAAACCTTAGTTAGGTTACGAACCACCAAAAAGGATCCCTCCCATTCCTCCATCTTTCAGCTGATTTAAGTACACCATGTCGAGGTGCACCTGCGTGCATTCTGCCAGTAAGCCTTGGGGGACGGAACATCCACTCACTTCTGGATGGAATTATTCTCACGCTATTCTGGTATTGATATGATGGTGATGGAAGATAACGAAAGTGTTACGAAATTAAGATAGCGAGTTTTGTAAAAATATACTCCTCACTACTCTACGGGGTGGCGAAAAATTGCGTGCGTCATACAACGCTCCAAATTTATTGTTTGCATACCAACATGAAAAAAAAATTTCTCAAATCAACAAACAACGGCATTACAAAATCACATTTTCAAAGTGCCCGCCTTCCGTTTCGATACGAGCATCGATTTGTCTTATCATCGAGTCAACGTTGCTCCGAAGGTAGTTGATGTCAAACTGTCCAAAATTTTGCATACTTCCTTTTTCAAAGTCACCAAACTTTTCACGCTTCTATTCCTTAGTTCCTCTTCCACATAACCCCAAGCAACAAAGTCTAAAGGACTTGAATTTGGGATATTGGAAGGCTACAGAAGGTCCTTCGTCAGACAGGAGCCATTTTCGGTCTCGAGAAGAGATTGGTGGATTTGGCTGCATGGGCCGGAGCCCGGTCCTGCTAAAAGATGAGGCTGAGATGACTTTGCTTTGAGGATAGCACAGCTCCTTCAAGGATTTTTTGGTAGAAATTCGCATCAATTTTCACATTTTTGTCAAAAATGAAAATCAACGGAATATTGTCTGATGCACTGATACCTTCCCAAATCATTAAACCTTTGGGAAACAAAAGTCTTGTGGCAATTATTCTCTTCCTAGTGTTCTTAAGAGGTGGTTCAAAAGCTGACGGTGATTCTGAGAGTTTCTAGCCACTTTTACGGTAAACACTTTTTCGTCAGACCAGGTCCGAGAAGGCACCGTTCATGATAAAAAAGTTATTGAGTTCTTTCCTTATTAATACTAAGCGGCCCCCATGGGTTGTAGAAGGGACCCTCTCCCTCCCCCCTCCCCAATCTCGACGTCCAGGGCATAGTGGCAGTCCCGTTGTTGCCGTAGTTCGCGTTCCCGCCCCTCGATCGGTGTCACGTTAGACGAGTGTTTAGACAATACAGATTGCTATTATTCGTTCTAGGACCCACGCGTAAACAGCTAATCGCCGAGTGATGAGGCGATGTTTTTCTCCCATTCTTCTTTCCTCTGTTTTTCTTTTTGCTGCCACAATCCCCTATTTAATTTCCTACTCCTAAAGGCTGAAAAAGGTGAGCTACTTTTGCTGTTACTAAGGTTTTTTTTGTTTACTTATGCTTATAAGTGAATGAATTTTTGCTTACCATTGTCTGTTCTTCGCACTAGGACCCACACGCGCGCAGTGAAACACACTTTTTAGCTCGTTCGGACGCCCCACCCTTCCTCTTTTTTCTGGTCTCATTCACGTCCAGCCCGTTTTTTTAACGTTTTTTCGAAGCCTTTTTTCACTTTGAAAACACCGATGCACGCAGTTTCTCCACCTCAGTCGCACTAGTTTCGATTTTGTCTTCCATTTTTCATCATAATCTGGATTACCCAAAATTATCGTGAACGATGCCTTTAATTCGGCGCATCTCGAAAAACTCCCGCAATTTCTTGCATTTTTCTTTTCGACTTTGCTTTGCTTTTTCGGTAAGAACATTACAATTCAATAGGCGATAACTTCGAAGGCCGCGGTCATTTTTCATCATCATTTGAACGGATTTTCTGGAGATCTCGAACTGTTCCCATTATGTTTAGGCTCCTTCCCCCCGCCCCCCCTCCTGGCTCCGGTCAATCCTCTTCGTTATAATTTTACGCATCCTCCTTGTATTGACAGCCGCTTCTTTCTCTTCCTGGCCTGATTAGGGGGTGTCCTTCCTTTTTTCATTGCTTCACAGTCTTTTGAACTGGGTTCAGGAGAACTCTGAGCTGCGACGAAATTCCAGTATTCTTCATCCAGCCGCTGACTAGGCATGCAATCGCCTCGCGATTTGTGCAGACCTGACTTGAGAGCAACTTTCTCTGCATAGGCTTATTATCGAATTCGAATATGTAAAGAAAGCAACTGAAGTGTAAAAGCTGACTTTAATACTCAAAGCAGGCACGTGATCGTGTCAAGGTTGCGCGCTCGTAATTTTTCGCCACCCTCTATGATCTCCACGAAAACCTCTCAGCTTCTGAATATGACCGCGTATGAACTACGAGACCAACTAAAATGTCATCTCAGAACACCAACTGAGTGGAGGCTGAACTGGCAATCAAAATGGCTTCAGAGACCTACTGAGATTCTGATGTTTCTGATATGTGAGACAAATTAGTCTACTCCATTCTATTCTGGAATTCCATTCCCACTATCCATTCTATCGTTGAGAAAGGTGGGCGAGTTCTGTGTTTGTAATCTTCTTGTGGTAGAAATGGTGTAGTGTCAAATAACGCGCTATCACACATGCACACACAAACGAAAATTTCCTCTAAAATAAATTGTGCAACAGACGCAGATTCTACGACACAATTTCTTCCCGTGCACTTTCAGTATTTGTGTTAATAGAATTTTCCTTATCGTTTCGATCACTCTCCTATTGTTTGAATTCGAGAATAAACAATCAATCTTTCACCCGTATTTTACTGAAGTTTTTTCTGCGTTTGAATATTTCATTGTGCAGTCGTCACGCCTATCTACTCCCTCACTTACCCCTGATCCTGTTTTACATCAAAATGGGTAAATCGAACTTTTGTCCATCTTTTTACTACTTGTGGGTCTTTCCTCTCTGTTTCCATACTATTATACTGCTACTATATTTCATTGCATACTCGTAGTGGCTGCTCTTCACTCTTACGTGCTACGGATTCCCTTTGATTCTGGAGGTGAGTGGGTCAAACTTTAACACGTTGACGACAACGCGCGTTTGGGCATTTTTGGCGGCGTGAGACCGACGCAATATTTGCGGCCCCGTCGACCGCGAGATTTCGAAGCTTTAGAGGGACAACTACCTCTAACTACATATCGCTACTTAGTAAGTTAATTAATAAAATGAAAAGCACACAAAAAGGTTCTGTATAATAAATATTCCGCTTTAAAAAAAGCTTGTACAGACATGAAAATGGCTGGGAGAGAAGAAAACTCGGAAAATGCTTTACAACTCGGCCATCTTCTGACATAGAACTAGAACTCCTCAATGCTGTTAAAACTCAAATTCAATAGCTTGCTTCCAATGTTCCCATTTCACTTGCTTATTGATCTCAATAAGTGTCAATGTTTGAAGTAGGCTCATGATTTGGTAAGGCTTGGAAAACCTGTGTGAAGATGAAGCATATCTGATCTTTTCAAGTTCCATTCTGTTAATAGCTTTGTTACTGCTTGATCTATAATATAAACCCAAAAAACATATGAATAAATCACACATGCGCAAGAAAAAATTGCGGAATGAGCGCGGGACACATGTGTCCCGCGTTGTCCCACACGGCCTGCGAAACGCGGGACATATATGTCCCGCGCTCATTCCGCCAACGTGTTAATCAATCCTTTTATATATATCTTGTTACTCTTCACTCTTTTTTACATTTGCGTTACTTCATTGTTTTATCTCTTAGTCACTACTGATCTTTTTCGATTCGGGAACAAGCGAGTCATCTTTTTATCCATATTCCTGTCACATTTTGATGTTTTACTGATGTTTCGGAGACTACCGTTCTGTGTATACCTTTTCCCCAAAATCCTGCCACTTGGATCGAGTGCGCGTTCTCCCATTTCAGTACCGCAGATAAACACACGAGCTGCACAATAAAGATTCCTCGTTTTATCATCTCAAGTTAATTGAGGATCTTAACTAAAGGAAGCCCAAATATCAGCACAGATCAGGATTCAGCAGACGTTTATGACATGCAAAAAAGTAAGATTTAAATAAGTTTGCTACGCACCTCCACATTTCCGCGTGCAGTATAAGCTCTTTTTGTGTGTTCTTTGCAGTTGCCCGCGCCACATGGTCCATTCTGGGGATTACGAAATCTTCCTTCGTTCCGAGCGTTATGAAATCTTTTGTGGTTACTAGAATTTTGCCACTCCACAGTATTCACGAGTATTATGAAATCTTGTATGGTTACTACAATGTCGCCACGCACCTCTGTTCATTTTGAAGATTTGCTCAAACATTGAGTCTGTGCAATTTCTTTCTTCTACTATGAAATCTCAGCTCGCTTTTTCATAATCTCTGCGGTATCTTGTCTTTGTGCAATTCACCTAAGGCGTTAATCAGATGAATTGCAGTTGAGGAAAACTATTTTATCTGGAAGTTTTGTTCCAAACTCTACCTTTGTTCATTTTTTACTTCATGTAATCGCGAAGTGACCCCGGTAAGGCTATCATTCCACCTATTCTACATGCATGATTTTTACTAAGACAAGCATTTCCGTTTCATAAATATGTGCTATATTCTGATCGGTGTTGATTACGTTTCCTTTGAGCGAGAATGCTCCGTATTCTCGTAGATCGCTTTTCATCTTCGGTGCTAGTATGGGTGAACGCCCGTCCAATCCCAGTGAAGAGAATACGGAATTGCCGCTTTCATTTCGAACATCTCCCAGTTTGCAGATTCGCACGGAGTCGCACGCTTCTGTTGCAGAGATTCGGGCAGCTGTCCGGATTGTGGTCATGACAGGACGTTGAAGAACTACAAAAGCAAAAAAGGATCTCCAAAGCCCTTACAATCAAGAATGAAATCTTTCTTTGCAATGAGTGCAGCGAGCTCTTCCGAACCGAATGAACGCCCGTACACTACATCAAAAGGTCGTACGAGGACGAAGACGAAGTATCCCTTTCGACATCTCTGTAGTTTCCTACTTGCAAAGAACAGATGAAAATGTGTGTGTCTTCGCAGTTCTTCTTAACTTGCAGGAGCTGGATTTCTCTCTTGAATGTGATGGAGTTCAATTCAGAGGTCTTAACCAATACCTTCAGAAATACTGGGAGCTCATTAGTCACGTCAATGAAGAACATGCTCCCTTCAAACAGTGAATTCTGGAAATGGCTGGATTAAACAGTAGGAATTGCTTTAAGGTAAATTCTAAATTAAGTCATTCACATCTCGGTATCGAAACCGGTTCCAGGTTATGTGAACACTAAAACGCCCTGTACCAAAGAAATCAACCACTGACTGCCTTCATGAAGGAAATTGAGCGCGTTATCTATTGAGATACTTTATGATTTTGCGATGCTAATTTCTTGGTAGATCCCACCAATGAATATTCATGTAACGGAAAATGGGAATCACTACAAAGTGAAAACATGCTCTGCTCGCTGTGATCATGAAGTAGAACCGCTCTTTTGAGGGATGGACCGGACGTCTGTGCAATACATAGTTTCGCTTCTCAAGAAGGGGTTCCGGCCCCAACATAAGAGCTTATTTCAGACATACACTGGATTGCACTCAAAATTATCACTCTTCTGGAAGAGGCGGAAAAAGGAAGCACAAGACCATATCAAGTAAGTTATCGGAATTATAAAGGATATTGATGTCCCAATTATTACTCCATCGGTCATCGCGTAAGAGTTGCCTACAGCTGGCCAGACGTGCTGAACTGCTCTCTAGAGGACGCCCACCCAATCACGCCTCGATTAGGCTCTCAAAGAAACGTCAGGCTTTCAAAGGTTCTCATTACTTCTTCTTTCTCGTAGCAGTAGGCGGCATTGAAATAGACATGAACGCGTCAGGGAAGTTCTCTATTGGAAGAACAGTGTCCCAGATGGAATTATGTACTGTATCATCTGTTTCATAAGAATCCCAAACGGCAACTGAGAATAGGGCGAAGACGAACGGCAAAAGTGTTCTAAGTGTGGGTTTTGGGCTCACAATGCCTTACTATGATGGGGGTGCTATGATAGGGCTTCTTGTGTACCCTCTGGGAGGCATAGTCGAATTACTTTACACACTCTAACGTAAATAGCATGTATTATTTGTCTCGGTACTCGCTTACTCGCTTTATTCACACGATTTTTATGTCAAACAAAGTATCACTATGTTTTGAGTTATAGAGAACTCCCATTTCACCAATGTTGAGAGAGGCTGTGGATCACTTGTTACTCTTTCTTTCGATGACAAAATGTGTGTCAACATCTTGTGCTTGCCTTGGTGATTGGTGAACAACATCAAATGAGCTTTTGCATATCATTTCTCGGCAGAATAACTTTAAATTACAGTTGAATCAATAACCCGTTCAAAAACACGTCTGCAAGAAAAGTGAGATCGACGATACCGTTTGTATCAGATTATGCCAACATGCCATCGGGTTTTAAAGAAGTATACCACAGAACAAGAGTGTCTCACGTATGGTTCGAATATTAAAGATGTTCAGGATATCGCGAAAATTTCTTACAAGTCTCTCAAATAGTATTTTTGTGATCTATAAGGATGCGATTGTTGGAACCTATTCAAACTTGTGCATCAACATTAAACTATAGAATGGATCTAGTCTATGGGTGCCAGACGACACAATGTTCCGTTTTGTGTGGCTATATATTTTTGTCAACACCAGCCGAACATAAAGGAATCGTACGCTACTTACTAACCCACTAACCAATCACGAAATGTTGAAATGGAATGGACTAAGCTTAGAATAAGAAAACGCCTTTTCGAAACTGCCATGGTAGTCCTTTCAGCCTTTCTTTTTATATTATTCCTTCTTGCTCAGAATGTCTGAACTCGCAAGGCCTATCATCAGTATTGGCCTTACACCTCCAGTTCAGGTAGAGGCATACTCCTCTGGAAAGTGATTCAATGACGTAGTCATACGCTTCTCGAGCTGCACCGTAGAATGGTAGTTAATTGTAGAAACTTTATTTCATACTCTCTGGGAACATAAAAGTGACTCCACACAGTTTACTGCCTTGCGCTCTGTCACTTTCCCTTATCTTGAGGAGTAGAAGCAGTTGGGAGTACTTGACAGGTTGGTTGATTTGTCCATCTAGGATCAATATGCAGCACTCTAGTGAGAGTTTCAGATATATTGTCTATGCGCAGTATATGTATTGCGTAATACGCAATATAAATTACAATTTTCGCAATAAGTTGCCTGCAGTGTTACCTTAAGAAACTGATATAAGTAGAACCTACAAGCTTCTTAAAGATAATATTCTTTGCCGTGCTGTGCTTATTCCTTTGATTGCGATATTGAATATAAATTCGGAAGGGATTGTTTTCTCGCTTATCTGGGACACCAGTACATACGTACACTAGTATATTGGCGCACAAAGTAAAGTTAAGAAAAAAGCTCGTCCAATGGTTGCGTAAGTCCTGTAGCCGCAACACGAGCGACGTTCTTTTTTTTATTTTCGCGGTATATGTGTCGAGTAACCAGACGCGTGGATTGCCGTTGTCCGCTGGGGCTCTTTTCATTCTTTGCGTCTTTTGCATTGAATATTTGCCTTAAAAATGCGATAAAGGATACATCATAGACATAGGAAGATTAGTAAAAAGAAGAGCAAGATGTGGTAAAAAGTTGTGTAGAAGATAGGCTCAAAATGCCGAAATAACATAGGACTGGTAGTAAATAAGAGAACAGAGCCGCATAGCGAGTGTGCAGTGAAGAACTGTATAATAGTGGGAACAACGCTGAAGAAGGGCCAACAGGTAATAAGAGGATGGGTCGAAAATTGTTACTTATTCCGAAAATAAAACAAGGTTAGTGATGACTGAGAGAATAGATCCGCGTGAAGAGTGTACAATGAAATATTCACTCGTAGAGACCACGGCGAGGAAAGATGAGTTCTTTGCTGGAAAGTTGGATAAAAGATTGACTTGTTCAACCTCAAATCCAAACAGTAGGAAAGGGTCAAAACAGTAAGGAAAACGCCATTAGCGCATGAAAGGGCATGGAAAGATATTGTGTCTTAGAAAGAAATGCGTCGTCTGAAGCAGCTCTGCGTCTGTTGCATTTTATTTTATGTCACATCTGTGTAAGAGCCGAGGGCCCGTACTGAATTTGGGTTTTGTCACACGCACGGTTTGAGAAGCTTCCTATCGATATATGCTTCACCCAACCAGACCGTCCCTTTTCTTCAAGGTCAGGATAAACGAGCCTGAAACCATTCTGATTTTGAATGAAATGTCGAGTGTAGGGTATATCCCAAGGGTGGACCGACAAACGTCAAGGACATCATTCTTGTCTCAGGGTCGGGTTCTATAACTCTTTTTGTTCTTCGAAATGTGCTTTATTACAGTGTTGTTAACGTGCCTATCTAGCTGTCAAGAAAACTCTCTGTTTACCTATTAAAACCTATTGTCGCTTCCTTGAAGTCGATCCTTAAGTGCCTGCCATGCCCCTTTCCTTGTGTTTGGCGCTCATAAGCTCTATTCAAGTTTTTCAGGATCACTCATTCTTTTTTGCATGTTCTGCGCACTGCTGTTTCATTGATGCGCTCAGTGTAGACATCTTGTGCGTTTTGAATTCAATGCCTACAATGCCTTGCTCCAGAACCTACAGTTTCTATGGTGTTGAGGACTTTCCGAGTCAGTTGTTACTCCGAGAGCAACAAGCAGAAGCTAATAACACAGCGACACTGGCTTCCCTTCTAGTATTTAAAACATCCCAGTGAGTATGCGCCCGGTCCATTCCCTCAATGAGCCTACCCATCGCCCTACGCTTCTCAATTCTAAGTACCCGCTAAATCAGACCACCATGTGTTTCTTCCAACACTACTAAACGAGGAATTCTGCTCTACGTCTGGATCTAAAAAAGTGGTAGCGCAGCCCTGATTACTTATTATCACTCATGAACAAAGCTTCAGTTTCGACGAGCACTTCATATAAACTATAGAGCAGCTTCACATCCAAAGTCTTTTATTCGATAAATCCCTATAACTAAAAATTTACGAATACGACGTCGAAAGCTGGCTTCGCGTACATTCTTCTCGAGCAGCCGAGCTTCTCTTCGTTTCGCTTCTCTTCGCTCCACAGATCCCCTTTTAGTGAAATTTGCATTTGTATGCAGGAACGTATGACCGGAAATATTCGGGTCATTACCGAGAATAATTCCCTTGACCTTTTCGGGTAAGCCTGGCTAGAATCTGATGCCTACATGTATCCTCCAGGTTCGCACTACCGAGCTTGATCCTAAAACTTGGTTAATTAAACTGTATTGAACTAATCAAAACAATACAACAATAATGAGACCAAGGCACAGGTAATTAAAGCACACTACGAGCATAAGTGAAGTAAAGCACAATACAATTGAGGCATAACAGTCAAAAAGGGTTAAATGATAAAGTGCTCTAAAAGACCAAAATATGAATAAATGCTCCAGTGATCAACCTCAATGTTAAGGAAGAAGATGAGAAGCTCAGTAGTTCAAAGGCTTACATGGAATACTTACAATGCTCTAGAATAATAGAAAGAAAGATAAAAGTGCTCTTGCGAATTAAGAAGAACGTGTCAAATGCTCTCGATGCTTTGCCACGTACTGACGTTCAGCATGCGTGCGCGGTTTCCAGCGCGATCTCTGATCGATAGAGATCACACGTGTGACCGTGTCGCCGGACAGGACATCTTCAAAGAAGAAATCACTAATCTAAATAAACCACAAGAAACACATCAACGCAAACAAGGTAAGTAAAATACTTACTAGTAAAATAATGCTCTTCATTAAATATGCTTTCTTCT